CTGGCCCGAATCTTACGGTAGGCTCCGAGTACGAAATGCATGCAAGGTAGAGACGCAGAATCTTTGCGCGACCCTGCGCTCATAACTGTTGCGCTATACGCACTCTGGCCTTGCAAATCGGTATTGCAGTGTGGGCGGCGTCCGGGCCTACCGTAAGATTTGGGCCACTTTCGGAGCAAATTCCAGACTTGGTAGACCCCCTCTTTCGCTCCAGACTTCAGTCATCGCTTAGGTAGGGGGTCTACTTCATCGCCACAAAAACCCAGCCCATCCTTTTGCTGGGACGCTGCCTTTAAAGGCAGTGGCTTGGCAAATCTCAAGCTAGTAAAATTTTCGCTTACATTCAAAACAAACGTTTCATCTAAAGTCAATTTTCAAGAGTTGGTTGCTCCCCAACAAAACCTAGCTCTATTGATTGTCTATCTAATAAAGCAAGTCTTCATTAACAAACGTAGATCGTCAATTACTTTCTTGTAGCTTTCACCTTCGTTGCGATAAGAGAGCAGAAAATGAGCACATCAAATCCGTTGACACATCGAACAGATAAAATTTTTTATATCTCACGGCTCGGAAAACCTAGAAAAAAGTCGACGTTCTATGTCGAACTCCCCCATTTCCTAAGCTCTCGAATGGTATATAGATAGATTGTTTAGCGGAAAAACTTGCCAGTTTTCTAATAGGTTGGAGATATTTACTTTTAGATTGCTCCACCCCGTCCCGTATAAGTATTGGCTTTTATGAGTCATGGAGCAAGGATTCTTTGAAGCCAGTAAACGAAATGCCACAACAAGCTATATACCATTCGAACGCTGCGATGGAGAATCGAAGTACTGTCTAAATTTTTCCACCTCTTCCCAGCAGTAAGACTGAGATTGATCTGCTTAATATATTAGGTGGGTCCGAAAGTTCGTGCCGTTTTTTAGATCTATTCTAATCGTTCAAAACCAAGATAGACAAATCGTTTTTACACTATCCGATGGGGCATTTTTTCCTCTTTCCAGCAGCTGTGTTTCCGTTGGACTATTTCGACGAGCGCTGAGATAATTGCCGAAAACTAGAACCCTTTATTTTTACCATGTCTAAGTTTCGCTAATTTTTCAAAATTTTCATTTTAGACTTTTGAAGGTGCTCTAATAACTACCTGACAAGGTAAATCTTTTTCAAATCAATGCAGTTCTTTGCATTTTTTCAGCTTCATCTTTAGAATTTTGCTAAATTATTTTATCAGTGCATTGAATTTTGAAAAAATCGCGTGACACATCATTGCACCAAACACCGCGAATTCCTCAAAATGAAGTTCCCAAAGTCGGCTATTATTGTCACTAGTTATGAAATAAATGAGCAGTTACGGCGTGAAAATGGATAGATTTTGGAATTCCGACTCCAATCTTGCGCACCCGTAAAATTGGGAATTACAGCAATTTTGTCTGCAAAAGTCGCATATCTTGCGAAGAAAAGGTAGCAGTCAGAAAGAGGAGAAAAAGATGCATTAAATAGTACCTAAACTGTTCAACTCTGATGTTTTGCGAGGTTAGAATGAGCCAAATATAATCACTTCAGAAAACATATTTTAGTAATTCTAGAAAGCATGCCAGAGAGGTGAAAAAATTGTATTGCTTTAAAAAAGATTTGCCTTATCAGCATCACGCGTGCTGATGCGATCCGGGACCCTCATTATGACCTCCCCCCTAAAGGTCCCATCCCTACGACTCCCACCTTCCTCCTTCCCCCCCCCTCCACCTACCCCATTCCCCCGCCCCGCCCTCCTCCACTTCCTTTTACGGTAACCTGCATAAACGAATGTCAATCTCAAATGCCTGCCAATGTATCTCAATCAAATTTATAAGTCAGAGAAAGATAACTATTTAAAAACTGGGAGAATGCAAGTAATGCTTCAGCACTCAAAAAACAGATAGTTCTACGTAGATTGGGTAAGTAATAAAATTTTTTTACAAATTGGCTATGCTTATTGTGTTTGGGAAAATATGAATGGAAAGGACATCATCTGACAAAGCAGAACATCGAATATGATTTGAATGCTATTCAAGATGTGCTCTACCTATGAAAAATGAAATAAAATAACAACCAAGAAAAATTCAGCATTACGGAACGGTTCACTTTGGTCATTATATTTGACTATTTTTAATAACTCCTTTTCTTGCAAAGGTTAATAATTTTTTCTGCTGTTTATGAATGTTCGGCATAATCCTTTCATGGTCCAGTGGTAACGAAAGATACAGACTATGGTTCTGGATAATAGAACGTTTCAAATTTGTATGACAATTCCGAGTTTTATCCCCGTAGGCGATAATATTTTTTTGCAGGAACAAAAAAACCATTTTTTTGAAGCGTAAATATTGTTTTCGACTAATAGGCCTGCTTTCTATTGCACAGATTTTCCTGCGGAAAAAAACCGTTTTAGCGTCTTCCAGAACGATGTCTAAAATGTGCATGATCTTGCTTTGAAAATTCGTAACTGAAGTCAAGAAAAGATTAAAAGGCTCCAATGAACAGGTTTTGTAGTACTATAGTGCTCAAACAATTAAAGGTAAAAGTTGCAGCACAGGAGCAGTAAGCTCCAAAAAATTTAGATGCGACTCTAGCAAAAATAGATGCGATCCTAGAAGCCAAAAACTGGCAAGCTCGAAAATCCTTAACTCACTGGAGACGCAACGAAACAGCCCGAAATTTTTAGGAAAGAAAGTAGGAGGATGGCGTCGTAATACAGCAAAGTTGCAGCGAACAGGCCTCCATAGCGGCGAAAAAATTTAGATGCGGCCTAGATACGAACCCCCTTTTCATTTTTTGTTGCCATAAATAATTCAAAAAAATCCACAGGCTATGAAATATAACGATTTGTACAACTCTAGCAGAGCATCTCCAAAGTACAGGTAAATTGTATGGGCCCTCTAAAGACATAACAAAAATGTTTAAAAAATTATCCATGGTCATCGCTTGTAGAGATTGGGGATTTTTATCGAGAGTGTAAGACTTCAGTAATGCTTCGGAACCAGGATTTCTAGGTCAATTGGTACGTTTAACATTCTTGTCAAACTGCATGCCTAGTGTTTGCGCTTCTGAAAGTATCTTGGAGTCTTCGGTCATACTTCTGGCCAGCAAGTTAGATCCCCGTCTGCGATACTTTTTGCAGGGAGAAAAATGCTGTTTTTTGAAGAGTAGAGAATGTTTGCGACTGAGAAGCTTATTTCCTACATTCCACACTTTTTTAATTCGGACCACCCTCTCTTACGACCCCCCCCCCCACCGCCTGTGCCCCCTTTACGACCTACCGTTGCTATAGTCGCATCACACGCTTGACCCTGCTTATCGGATGGTTATTAGAGCACCCTCAAAAGTCTAAAATGAAATTTTTGAAAGTTAAAGCAGTCACAACGGAAACGCAGCTGCTGGAACGGGGACGAAATTCTGCATTGATTTGTGTTTGAGCGATATGTCTATCCTTTATTTTGAACGATTCTAGAACAGGTCTAAAAAGGCATGAACTTTCGGATCCACCCAATACATTTCTCCTAATTTACTTTGGCTGATGAAAAATACACAAATCCACAAAGGCTTGTGGTACACAATTACCCACGTGGTTACGGCACAGCATCACTCTGGCAAGTGCACAAAAATTTCCGTTTTCTTGATTTCTAACGGAGGGAAAAATACGGCAAAGGCGTATATGGATGTTTTATGTGGATAGTGTTTACGTAAGCAAGTAAGAATTTTTGTAGGATATTTATGAAATGGTTACGATTTTTTTTCCGGGCTGCTGAGTCTTTTTAGTTTTTGGTTCGAAACTCGAGGTGGATGAGAGCTGTTGCAAATGCGATGGCCCTCTTGTAGAGCTTACTTTGCTCTATCGAATGGTACTTTGCAGCCTATTTAGAAATGAGAAATGCATGACTTATTGCGGTTGAAATTCAAAACGGGCATTAATTTCCGTGCAACCTAATACATTAGTAAGATTACGTTCTTCTCATAAGAAAGAGAATTGAATGCATTTTTCATCAGTCAAAGTAAATTAGGAGAAAGGTATTGGGTGGATCCGAAAGTTCATGCCTTTTTAGACCTGTTCTAGAATCGTTCAAAACAAAGGATAGACATATCGTTCAAACACAAATCAATGCAGAGGAAAAGTCCCCGTTCCAGCAGCTGCGTTTCCGTTGTGACTGCTTTGACAAGCGCTGAGATAATTGAGGAAAAGTAGAACCCTTCATTTTATCATGTCTGACTTTCGCTAACTTTCAAAAATTTCATTTTAGACTTTTGAGGGTGCTCTAATAACCATCCGATAAGCAGGGTCAAGCGTGTGATGCGACTATAGCAACGGTGGGTCGTAAAGGGGGCACAGGCGGTGGGGGGAGGGGGTCGTAAGAGAGGGTGGTCCGAATTAAAAAAGTGTGGAATGTAGGAAATAAGCTTCTCAGTCGCAAACATCCTCTACTCTTCAAAAAACAGCATTTTTCTCCCTGCAAAAAGTATCGCAGACGGGGATCTAACTTGCTGGCCAGAAGTATGACCGAAGACTCCAAGATACTTTCAGAAGCGCAAACACTAGGCATGCAGTCTGACAAGAATGTTAAACGTACCAATTGACCTAGAAATCCTGGTTCCGAAGCATTACTGAAGTCTTACACTCTCGATGAAAACGCCCAATCTCTACCAGCGATAATTTTTTAAACATTTTTGTTATGTCTTTAAAGGGCCCATACAATTTAACTGTTGCCTTATATAATGTGCTTGCCAATATCGTACCTCTTAAATTCAAAAAAGTTCCTCCTCTCACTTATCCCAATCACATTCGCAACTTGATTGAACAAAAGTTGCGGCTCTTTTCATCACTCACAAATCCACTAAATCATAACTTGTACAATAAAACTTGTTCTGACTTGAATCATCATTTGAAATTTTTTTTACGAAACCATGAACATCTGCTTGCAAAAAAAGAGTCCAAAGAGTTGTATAGTTATTTCAAATGTAGAGCAAAAGGCAATATGAGATTTCCTACCCTAATTGACGAATCTGGTACCTCTTTTGGGGACGACCAGGGGAAGGCGCATGCGTTAGGGCGATTTTTTGCCAATGTATTTGAAAAGGCTGATGATGACAACCACGCAATGAGCATGCCTTGGGCAATGGCTCGCATCTCCGAATCTATAGATGATGTAAGTGTCAATTCTGATACAGTGTTCAGTACACTGAAAAGTCTGGAGCCCAACACAACTCCCACATTCGACGGTATTCCACAGATCATTTTTAAGAACTGTGCACAAACACTTTGCGTACCACTTTCATATATTTTAACATGTCGCTCTCAGAGGGAGTTGTGCCTCAAATTTGGAAAGAAGCTCTTGTCACTGCAATCCCTAAAAAAGAATCTAGCAATGCCTTGTCAAATTTTTGCCCTATTAGTATCATGCCTTCCGCTGGCAAAGTTCTTGAAAGGGTCATTTGTAAAAAGCTCTTTGATTGGTTGGATAGAAACCATGTTCTTCCATCTGAACAACACGGATTTCTTCCCGGATGCTCTACCACAACCTTACTTACCGACTCCCTTTTTGACTGGACTGCAGCTCTCAATAAAGGTCAAGCTGTAGACATAATTTACTTTGATCTATTTAAAGCATTTGACAAGGTAAACCACAGTAAACTCTTTTTAAACTTGAGAACTACGCCATCAGGGGGCCTCTTCTTTCTTGGTTAAAATCATATCTTAGCGAAAGAAGTATGGCAGTTCGTGTGGGGACGGTGTACTCTGATCGGTACTGTTGTAGTAGTGGTGTCCCTCAGGGAGGCGTTCTTTCTCCTCTACTATTCCTGGTTTACGTTGCCGAACTCCCTACTCTTTTGAAAACCCATCTTGACATCAAAGTACAAATGTTTGCGGATGATATCAAAGTATATTACTGCTAAGACCCTAGTCAACAACATGCTGCTTTTGATGCACTCTCATTTTCTATTCAAAGGATGATATCATGGTCTAAAGATTGGAATATCCCTGTAAGCCCTTCCAAGACTACTGTTATGCAATTAGGTGAATCCTCTTTCCACACTTACAACTATGATGGTGTCAATCTTGAGTCCTCCAACCTCGCACGAGACCTTGGCGTGATTATCAGTAACACTCAATTTTTCCACCCATATTGACTTGATTGTCAAAAAATCTTCCTCAGCTCTTTTTACAATCTTCCGTAATATACATAGTAATGATCCGAAGATTTTTCTGACCTTATACAAAAGCTACGTACTGCCACATCTTGAATACGTATCTCCGGTATGGAGCCCTTTTTAGAAATATTGAAAAACTTGAAAAAATTCAGAAAACTTTCACTAGAATCCTCTTCTACAGATGTTACCCCGATTCAAGTTATCCCCAGAGTCTGCCATCGTATCGATCACGACTCAATTTCCTTCAGCTTCATAGTCTAAAGTACAGGCGTACCATAAATGATCTGGTTCTGGGATTTCGCATTTTGCGTTTGGAGACCAGACTCCGGGCCAGTAAGTACTGGGTGTTTAGACCATGTAGTCAACGAGTAGGTAAGTTCAATCTATATTATCGCAGATTAGGCACAAAGAAACTTTCGATCACGTTCAACTCATTTGTTTGTCGCACTTCAAGATGGTTATCATCCTTACCAGATGAAATAACTTCAAGTGAAAACTCTGCCATCTTTCGTAGAAGACTGCAAAATGTTGATGTACTTCAGATTCTAAAAATTTTATCTGATTTTTAGATGACTGCTTCCAACCCGATGTCCCTCAGCCTTATAGTTGTCAATCAGTGCTGTTATGTTCGCCATGGCTTCCATTCCTTCTTCAGAGCTTGGCTTTCGCAGGAGTCCTATCCTCGCTTTCCTGATGTTTTCCTAACTGATGCATCGCTTCGGTTCGGATGTGCCGTGTTTCTGCCTGTTATTGCTGCCATCTACTTCTTTTCCCCCATTAATGTTCCTGAGAGTGCCTTTGTTGCTGCAGTGCTTTACCATGATTAGTTTAATCAGCTTGTCGTACGTCAAGGGAAATATTAGGTTGGTTCATAATTAATGCACGTTTTGAATTTCAACCGCAATAATTCATACACTTTTCATTCTTATATAGGCTTCAAAGTACCATTCGATAGAGCAAAGCAAGCTCTACAAGATGGCCATTTTGCTTTTGCAACAGCTCTCATCCACCTCGAGTATCAAGGCAAAAAGTAAAAAGACTCAGCAGCCCGAAAAATCGAAAAAAATCGCAACTCAGTTCATAAAAATCCTACAAAAATTCTAACTTGCTCACGTAAACACTATCCACATAAGACATCTATATACGCCTTTGCCGTATTTTTTCCTCTGTTAGAGATCAAGAAAACGGAAATTTTCGTGCATTTGCCAAAGTGATGCTGTGCCAACCCCATATAGGTAGTTGTATAGCACAAGCCTGCAGAAGTACAGACCTAAATTTTCAGCTCTCTACAAGCTTTAGTTCTCGAAAAATTTGAATTTTAGCTTGGAGCACTTAACTAGGGAGAGCTATGTTTGGTATTTCTCGAGAACTAAAGCTTGTAGAGAGCTGAAAATTTAGGTCTGTACTTCTACAGGCTTGTGCTATACAACTACCTATGTGGGGTTGGCACAGCATCACTTTGGCAAATGCACGAAAATTTCCGTTTTCTTGATCTCTAACAGAGGAAAAAATACGGCAAAGGCGTATATGGATGTCTTATGTGGATAGTGTTTACGTGAGCAAGTTAGAATTTTTGTAGGATTTTTATGAACTGAGTTGCGATTTTTTTCGATTTTTCCGGCTGCTGAGTCTTTTTACTTTTTGCCTTGATACTCGAGGTGGATGAGAGCTGTTGCAAAAGCAAGATGGCCATCTTGTAGAGCTTGCTTTGCTCTGTCGAATGGTACTTTGCAACCTATTTAGAAGTGAGAAGTGTATGACTTATTGAGGTTGAAATTCAAAACGGGCATTAATTTCCAGACAATCTAATACATTCACTATCCACAGTAATCACTGCATATCACACTGACAAGGGAATGATCAGAAATCGAAGTGACCAACCTAGACAAGCTGCATACCATTCGATGCAGCATTCAATGCTGACTTCGAATCTATATTCCGTATATGCTTAGCCCTCTGTGGGCGATATTATGAGACGTTAAAGGCCGTTACTTTGCTAAGAAATCGTGCATGTGAAGCGCAAATTTGGCAGTGCGGAGCCATGTTCTTCTTAATGTTGAGCCAAAATATGCAGCTGGGTTACCCTATATTCTTAAAGCCTAAAGATGAGCTAAAGCTGCAAGAGTGTGCTCATTCTCGGGATTCCACGTAAGATTTCTTACAAGGGAAGGATAGCGGATGGCCGTGGACTTTCGAGACGAGATCTATACTAACATAGGTTCTTCGGTACGCTGAACTCAAATCTGTGCTTGTTTTCTGCTGCGCGGTCCTGGGTGGAAAGTTATGAGGGTATTTTCGCCCCGAGCTCGCTCGGACCGACAATAAGTGCGAGCCTCGCCGCTTGACCTGTCAGCAGCGTGTGGCCTGGTGGATAGTGTGCTAGACTGCGGAGCGGATGCTCATTTTGGTTCGATTCCTTTTGAGGGCAATCTTTTTGCTGATGTACATAAAGTCTCTTTTTGTACATAGAACCACTCCAAAAACCCAGTAGATGCATAGCACGACGAATAGAAGAAAATCGTCGTTAAAGCAGTGAGAGCTAACAAATAAGGTTCACTGATGTACGATTGCACGCGATTGCAACGAACGTGATTTTGAACAAGTAGGCGCAATATGCCTACGTGCACATAAGCTATGACCTGTCAATCGATGAGAGAGGGAGAGTTTCATAACTCATTAACCTCTGAACTCAATTATGTTTTGTCCGGAACTGGTTGTTTCACGCCTAGCAGAAGAATTTGGTCCATGTAAGGAGACGCGCGCTCCTACCAGGATAGAGCAGAAGTTCATAGACCACATGGCTGCGATTTTGCGTGAAGCCACTTATGGATTCCTGGATGTGGAAAGTGATGAAAGTGAGGTTATGGACGATTCTGATACAGACTCATCGTGGTCTGCTGAGGATACGGATGAGGAAGACGTTGAGAATAAGGGACCCGTTCGATTTGGAGAGGTGGATGTATCGGAGGAAGTGGTATGCCACAATAACTTTGAAAGAATTTTTTTCCTAACTCTAACCTCTGCAGGTAAAAAGCGCAATAGAATATTATCGATCGACAGAAAAAGGCTCCAGGCCCTTATCAAGTATGAAAAGCAGGTTTCGATTTATAACGAACGAATACCACAGGTTGAGAGAAATTGAGAAAAAGCGTAAGTAAATTAACTTGAAAATAAGCTACAGTTCAGAACAGTTTTGTAATCTAAATATATATGCAGAGGTCATCCGAGCAGATCGCATATCGAGCCTACGAGCTTTGGCATCAAAATTAAAGAATGCTGTTGCGTCGAAATTTCAAATGGGCATCGCTCTCCATGACAGCGATATTCGACAGATTGCATTAAAGTTGAATATGGATGAAGTCGGTATTCCAAATTTCAAGGCAAGCCATCGATGGCTCCAAGAGTTCAAGAAAAGGAATGGCATAGTATCAAGACGAGTCACAACTTTCACGTCTAAAAGAAATTTCTTGAACCACGACCGTCTTTCATCCGATGCTGAATTATTCGTCAGTGCAGTGCGGAAAGGTGATTACATACGAAAAATGGTGTTACGATTTTTGCAGAATTTTTCTTGTAGAGATGGAAAAGTGGCGTATGGTATGTAATGTAGACCAAAGCGGCTTTTTTAAAGAGCTGCATTCTACCCGGACTCTTGCAACAAAGGGGCTGAAGAAGGTAACGAGAGTGGTTCAATCAGTCGCTGCGACCACACACTCCTTTACCATCATGCCCATGTTGTACATAGACGGACATCTGGGAGAAAAATTATTTATAGTAATGCAGGTCTGTGATTCGCCGTACTCCTCTACAAGCAAAATTTTCTTTTGAAGGAGGCGCAAGGAAAATTTCCGGATAGAGGCCATTTTCAAGCAAGGAATTTGGAGGTTCGGGCCCACATGTCCCACATAATGAACAAACCGTTGCTGCTGGAATGGGTCCAATCGTGCCTGGCTTCGGCGGACTCAACGTCCATACTTTTGTTGGTCGACTCTTGGAGTTCGTTCAAAGACCATAATGCCATGCTGTCGCTCGTACCAGATAACAAGATGGTCAAAATCATGAACATTCCACCAGGAACCACCTCCTCCATCCAACCGCTGGACGTGTATTTTTTCCGTTCATTCAAGGCAATGTATAAAAGATTCACTTCCTACATAATAGCCCACGACTTGGATTTCGTTGTACACAGTCGAGATTCCATTTTACGCCTCCTTTCCCTGATATATTTTCAATTCTGTGCACCACGGTTCCGAAATTTCCTTGTCTATCCTTGGTACGCCGCAGGGTATTTGGATGCACATCCTGATCAGTTTGAAACCCCCGTGCAATACTGCTTTGCGCGTGATTTGTTGGGACAGTGTGAGAAGGAAAATTGTAATGAAATGTTTTTCATACGCTGCGCTCATTGCCAGCATCTTCTCTGTTTCAGTCATTTTGTTATCGAGCATCACATTTGCGCATAGCACAGATTTTTTCCCTTTTTTTGATTGTTTGACCTAATAAAGTGCTTGAATTTTGAAAAAGAAGTCTTTTTTGATCAATTTTTAATAGAAAAAGGACGTGATTTGATGACTGAAATGGTTCTGCGCACGAATAGAATCTTTATACATCAGCAAAAAGATTGCCCTCAAAAGGAATCGAACCAAAGAGAGCATCCGTTCCGCAGTCTAGCACACTATCCACTAGGCCACACGCTGCTGGCAGGTCAAGCGGCGAGGCTCGCACTTATTGTCGGTCCGAGCGAGCTCGGGGCGAAAATATCCTCATAACTTTCCACCCAGGACCGCGCAGCAGAAACCAAGCACAGATTTGAGTTCAGCGTACCGAAGAACCTATGTTAGTATAGATCTCGTCTCGAAAGTCCACGGCCATCCGGTATCCTTCCCTTGTTAGCAATAAAACTGCTCATAACTTCGTCCACAAAGGCGATAAGCAGATAAGGAATACATATTAGAAGTCAGCGTTGAATGCTGCATCGAAATGTAGGCGGCTTGATTAGATTGGCCACTTCAACTTTTGACCGTTCCCTTGTGAGCTTGTCAGGATAACGGTTCGCGAGTCCTTTACCTGATGTGTAGCGGGTTACATTAGTCTTACTATAATGTTTATTATACAAGTTATATACAAAAAGGGAAAGGGGGAAAGGGGAAGAGGGAACCGTCTCCTGACGGCGGGCGGACGTCACTGCTAGAAGTTCGTTATCTTAGGCCAACCTCCATCGCGAGCAGCTGTTGGGTAATAGCTGCGTCCCGACATCTCCATTCCTTCAGAAAGCTCGTCCTCGAGCTTGTTTAGCTGTTGTTGAATGTCTTCCGAGTAACATGTGTAAGGAGTACACGTGATACGGCGAGACCATGAAGAACTTCGACTTTGGTACCATTATCCTCAGATTCATCGATCGAGTGGGGAATTTGGTTTAGGCGAGCTGGATAACCAACCAACGACCTTCACCTTATCCTGGGGGTACTGAGTAAGCTTGTTCTCAAGCTGAGAGATATACAAAATGGAGGATGTGACGTTAGGGACTGTTTGGAAATGGCAGTGGCATAAAGTTGCATGGGTGATAAGACACTCGGAGACTGACCGATGGAGTAGTTTTAGGTGGTAGTTTCAGGACTGTGATGATGTGACTGGTATTTAGAGAGTAGGTGAAAACTGGGTGGGAAAAACAGTTTTTGTTGTGGAACATAATAATTAAGAAAAACAGCTTGGTGAGGAAGAACACGTAGTTAACAAAGTATTAGGCGGTACTGGATCACATTAGTAATTTACGAAATTATATATCCTACATAAATTAGGTAGACGATTTGTGAAATTTTGGGATGTG